GTATACATGTAGGCTTTTTGTTCAAAAAGGAATATGCAGGAAATTATTTGAAACAATTAACTGTGTACTTATTACATGTTTGAATGTTATCAGTTTTACGTTCTGAGATACAGTGATGTAAGCATCTTCTAAAATCTTCTAAAAATATAATAAAATACAAAACTCTCTGCCGTAATTTTTTGTGGAAATCATTCGATCAAGTAAAAATTACTGCGTGACAAGACGAATCAACTATTTATACCCGATAAAAGAAACTGCCGTATTTTAGGAACAGTGCTATAACAAGACATTTGAAATTTCTAACAAGCAGATACATTAGAGACAGTGACTAGACTACAGGTACGTAATCCGTATCAATCAAAGGTGTAAAAAAACTGAAAATCATATCTGTCGGAGACCTACCAAATTACCAAGTTTTATCATTACTATATTTATTACAATGCAAATACTTTAGTGATACATTTTTTAGAGGAGAGGGCATACACACAAGTATATTGCTTCCGTGTGTGAATGCAGGTTGCACTTGGTATCTCAGTTCTCAGTTTCATACCGGTTGTATAACTGAATTTGTATATGGAACCATGCGTACAGTATGACAATTACTTGCTATTCGTCAGTTTACAACACACATAACACGGTCAAACAATTTTAGGCACCGCTTTTGCGAGTTATTTAGTACAATAATGTTTTATTAAAATCTATTTCAATTTGTTTTCACCAGTTTCACTATTGACAATCGTTGTTACGTGCGTCACTAGGTAATTAGTACGGATTGACCTTGTTTATTGTTTCTATACTTTGAGGATTTCTGTGGCAAGTGCCGGACGTAATTCAAACTCCTTCCGCACTGACACCGCATCAAATATATTTGTGTACCGATTACATAACTCTAATGGACAGGGTGGGGTGGTAGTTCACCGGACGACACTGTGTATATTGAGCGGCTCCTTTGATATCTCCTCCAAACATACGTTTATTGAATGACCCCATTAAACGATGATACACATCTCGATGAATATATCAAGGCACTAATTCATCTTTCATAAACATTTTTTTGTCTTTGTGCTTAATATATCCACATATCAACGAACATTTGTAAAACATGTATCCTAAAAAAAATAAACATTTTCAGGCTAGGTATTTGCCCACAGCAACACCTGCATAACTGTTTATTCACGCGTGGTGTGGTAGATCGTAATTGACCGACAACAAGTATTGTAGAATCACCTGTAAATAAGGCCGACACTGTAATTAGATACAACGTACTAATGAGAATTATCATAAGAAGGCTGTTGTTTTTTCTGAACTGTTACCATTTTCATACCAAAAGTGACAATGCAGTTAAAAGTTGCTTTAGTGTCACAATATTCACTCACGTTTTCCTCAATCGCATTGAAACATAATTCCTACTGGTCAGTTCGAAACCGCATGTAATTAAATAATTATTTCGAGATTTCGTTAGAATGTAAGATATTCAGCCAAACGTTATGCAATAAAAGACGAATAGTTTTTTTCATTAAAATACGCGCACGCGTACCTGTATATTGCATACCTAGTGTCACGTAATTGCCCAGTGTGATGTATCAACGGGACGTAAAATGGGAAATGAAATAGAAACTAACTAAAATTTAATGTTGTGGAAAATAACTCCAATGAATTGGAGTACACGCACATGAATTCGTATGATAAACTGTCAAAACGTTACGAGAGGTAAGGCCGGGTTCATTAAAGATCGCTACAATATGTAAAACAGGTGAAATTTGTAGAACTAAAGGAAACATCCAACCAAATGCCCTTTTTAAATAGTAATGTAATGATATAATATAAAGTATATTTCACATGATACAATATACTTTGCAAACAGTTAGTTGATGCTTGAAAGGGACTGACGAAAACATGGGCGAAATATTTTAATAACGCCGTAAAATAGTTGAATTAAGTAAAAATTAGTTAAATTTTGTGTCATGACACTTGAATAAATACATTTAATGTATTTGCGAAACAAAAACATGAGTTTTGAGTAAAGGAACATGTTCTCGCCCATGGGCCTGCCCATGGGCCAAACCTTTTTCTCGCCCATGGGCGAAATATATCAATATCGCTATAAAATCGTTGAATTAAGTTAAAATGAGTTTAATTTTGTGTCATGATACCTCAATGAATACATTTAATGTATTTGCGAAACAAAATCATGAGTTTTAAGTAAAGGAACATATTCTCGCCCATGGGCCAAACCTTTTTCTCGCCCATGGGCGAAATATTTCAATATCGCTATAAAATCGTTGAATTAAGTTAAAATGAGTTAAATTTTGTGTCATGATACTTGAATGAATACATTAAATGTATTTGCGAAACAAAAACATGAGTTTTAAGTAAAGGAACATATTCTCGCCCATGGGTCTACCCATGGGCCAAACCTTTTTCTCGCCCATGGGCGAAATATTTCAATATCGCTATAAAATCGTTGAATTAAGTTAAAATGAGTTAAATTTTGTGTCATGATACTTCTTTCAATACATTTAATGCATTTGCGAAACAAAATCATGAGTTTTAAGTAAAGGAACATATTCTCGCCCATGGGCCAAACCTTTTTCTCGCCCATGGGCGAAATATTTCAATATCGCTATAAAATCGTTGAATTAAGTTAAAATGAGTTAAATTTTGTGTCATGATACTTGAATGAATACATTAAATGTATTTGCGAAACTTACTTACTTACTTACTTACTTTGGAGATTTAACGTGCGCTTTCCGACTGATGCGTATTTCGCACACGGGCCCGGCCAGGCCATTTAATGTGTTTCCGAAAGGGGCGAAAGTGGTCTGTGCAACCCAAGAGGGGGGTTTTAGGGGTTGCTTATATAGAATTTGGGAATTTTGAGATTTGGAATAGATGCCGATGGGATTGGGGAGGAGAACTAAGGGAGCTGGGTATGGTGGATGTTTGTTTGTTTATGTGATTTTGATTTGGTAGGTTATTGTGTTTTTAGATGCGTTTTATTAGTTCCGTTTTTATTAAGAATACGCCTAAAGCCTTGAAGTTTTCTAGTTTATTTTGTGGGTTTAGTATTGCTTCTAGAGTTAGAGCCTTGTTTAGATTGAGGGTGGTTTGTAATGCGGTTCGATGTGTTAGGTAGTGTGTGCAGTGGATGAGTGCGTGTTCTGGGGTTTCTGGTTGTTTGCAGTGTGGGCAGTTACCTGTAGTGTGTTTTTTAAAATTTTTTAGGTGGTTATTTAGGCTGGTGTGTCCTGTTTGGAGTTTAGTGATTACTCTGTCGATTTTTTTGGATGGATGGAGAATTTTTGGTTTGGTTAGTGGTTTGCTGAGCACTTTTTTGATTTGGCTATTTGAGTTCAGATATAGGTTATACCATTTTTTTGTGATTTTTTGCTTGTTTACACTTTTAATTTCTGATTTTGAGATGGGTAAGTTTAAGCTTATTTCTGGGATTTTGAGGGATAGTTTAGCTGCTTTATCGGCGTTTTCATTACCGTATATTCCTACGTGGGCGGGTATCCACAAGAAGGTTATTTGTTTGCCTGCCTTAGTTAGGTCGTTGGAGCTTTTAAGTATTTGATTTATTAATTTAGGTCGGTTTTTGGTATTTTTGTTTTGGAGGGCTTGCAGTCCACTTAGGGAGTCGGTAAGTATTAGGATTTTTTTGTGTTTTTTGGATTCTTGATTATGGAGGGCTGAGGCCATGCCCATTAGTTCTGCCGTGAATATTGATTGGTTGTTTGGGAGTCGGAAGGATTGTGTGGTTTTAGTTGGTTGTGTGGTATGGACTCCGAAACCTGTGTGTTTGGAGGTCGGATCTGAGGATCCGTCCGTGTAAATGTGACACCAATTTGGCCAATTTTCGTGTATGTATGCTAGTGTGGTAGTTTTAGCTATGTTTGGGTCGGTTTGTTTATTTATTTGGCTAGCTAGTGTTGTGTCTATTTTGGGTATTTTAAGTTTAGGGGTGAAGATATTTGATTGTTTGCAGTTTTGTTTAAGATTTTTAATTTGGTGTTCATTTAGGTAGTTTGTTATTCTTTGGGATATTGGGGTAAGTAAGGGGTGTTTACGAGCTAGAGCTTGGTTTTTGGGGCTGATGTTTTGGTTTATTAAGTTTTCGATGAGAGGGTTTGATTGGGACGCGGCCCAGAAATTTAAGCTTAGCTGTTCCCTGCGTAGGCATTTCTCCTGTTAAGGCCTGAAGTGAGGTGTAGGAGGTGCCATGTTGGGTGCGTGTAATTAGTTTGAGAGCCTGATATTGTATTGAGTCAAGGTTTTTAGATAGAGAGTTGTTTAGGGTGTTGTATATGGCGCAGCCGTAGTCTAGTTTTGATCTAATTAGTGATAATTTGCGAAACAAAAACATGAGTTTTAAGTAAAGGAACATATTCTCGCCCATGGGCCTGCCCATGGGCCTACCCATGGGCCAGACTTCGCCCATGGGCAGGCCCATGGGCCACACTTCGCCCATGGGCAGGCCCATGGGCGACATAGTCTAAATATTGAGTTTTTAAACAATTTTTTTTTCATTTTTTCTTCCTTGGTATGTTCCCATGAAAACGGCATGTTTAATTTTGTAAATACCTTTAACCGAGACTGGGCAAAGAGCGTAGAGTTTCTGGACTTTTGGGTTTCCAGAATTAAAATGGGACGTGTTCAGTATGCTAGTTATTGCAAGTGATTTATGTGTGTAACCTGGAATATCACACAAAAAGTTACGAGGGAAATATTAAAGGAATAGTCAATTGTAACGTTCAAAGAGACGTGTCTTTAGTCTGAACTTGAAAGATGGCAGATTAGGAGCTGTCATGTGGAGGACGTACAACAGATGGCATTCTGGAAACCTCCCTCATCCATGGCATGTGTATATTGAACACACACGTTATTGAAGTTTGTGGTTTTGCCAAAGTACCCCCTGTGAGTGGATGAAGACTTCCTCAGTAGCACTTTGGTTAGAACAATTGTGATGGAGCCAATACAAAACTTTCTTTGCCAGATTTATTAACATGAATTGTTAATGATTTTCTTCAGTTTCAATGTAGCTTCTACTCGAAACACATTGTGTATCTGCTATTGATCATAACATTCGCCAGCGCCACAAGCGTTGTCCCCATTGTGTTGCTCGTACATCTGTGATGCCTGACAAATATACCTATGTTAGGAAAGTGTTCCATTAGTCTAACGTTTTCTGCCTGTGTTATATGCAGATGAGTCTATCTTCAACGTAGATGGACACTGCTTCGATGGCGTTTTCCATGTTCCTTATGTAGGTTTGGGTGTTCAATGCGAGCAGCATGTTAACATTGTTCAAGACACAGCGAGACATGTGGGTGTTCGGTTTTGGAGTACTGTTGTGTGGAGTTCCTCTAGCGGAATTGGCTTGTACTGCCGTCAGTGGTCAGATGACGCACCTGTCTGGTCAAAGGTTGACTGGTCATACCTATATCAATAACACTGTTGCCACTGTAGATGTGTGTGCACTTCTGTGTATCAGCGAGTCCCTGTGTGAGTCCTTTAACTACAACGTACTGACTGAAGCGTGTGAGAGGAATTACGAAACTGGAGATTCCAAGCCAAGTAATCTTCAGTCGGAGTCAAGCTGGCTATATACTGAATCTGTGAAAATACCGAAGGTACACTATGTTTTGTTTGTGTTTCTACTGCTACATGCACGAAAGACTTCTGGTGTCTTCAAATGTGAAATTGTTGCAATATTTTTAAAAGCCACGTTACCCCATACTAACTGTCTCAGGTCCTGTTACCTTGTTGACATAATCGCGGCGGGGTTTAAACAGGGTTTAACGTCGTATTTAAAGTTATTTGTGTGTGTGTGTGTGTGTGTGTGTGTGTGTGTGTGTGTGTGTGTGTGTGTGTGTGTGTGTGTGTGTGTGTGTGTGTGTGTGTGTGTGTGTGTGTGTGTGTGTGTGTGTGTGCTTGTACTAGTCCGGACTGATGCCGATTTATAGTGCTAGCCCACTGAGATACCATACCGCAGTTTAACATGAATACCCTACTCAGACACAGTATACTGACTCCGAGCCCACCAGACCTTTTTTTAGCCCCTTAGCACCATGCAGGGTAACAACAAGTACCCTCTTTTAATATCTTTTTGGCATGCCTCGGCCGGGTATCGAACCTCCCGCTCTCCGGGCGGACGCCCAACAACTAGACCACGGAGGCAATCAGATATAATGGGTACTAGAATGAGGTGGTGTCATGATACGCCGATGTTTTGATGCATCTCCAAATTATACATGGTGTTACATTACACGATACACCTACCCGTGTATCGAATAATGTTTAAATTCTGTATAGGTTTAAAAAAGGTTACATTTACGAAGTTTTCCTCGGGTTAGAAGTACTTTTCCTTCTGTTACGTGACACGATGCTAAACCAATTTGCACAATACTATACGAAAAAGCCTAAATTAACATGAATTAAACACAAATTTGTTGATAGCAACAACCTCCTGTCCCTCGGGTCACTTGAAACATGAAGAATTCCACGTAAAACGATACAAATCGTCACGTGATCATGTGTATAGTTACACGTCTTGTCATTACAAAGTGAGTCAGTTGAATGGACCACTGCTTTGATCAGTAGTGCAGCTGTGTCACAGCGTGTTAGCTTATTGATGGAGGTTTACCACAGACTACACACTGTTTTGTTTAACGCCGCACCCAGCAATATTCCAGCTCTATGACGGCGTTTTGTAAATAATCGAGTACCACCCTTCCCTCTTTGCCTTTCTATGCACTATGTTTCAGCAGTAACTGAATATAGTCAATAAAAACTAAAGAAAAAAGTAATACATACAAGATTTTATAAACTGAAAAATAGGCTGTTACCGCCTCATTGTGTGATCGTTTGAGAAAATAACACCGTCTGTATTCTTAAGGTGTCCTTAGTATGATTCATTTCAGACAATTGCATAAAATACATCAAATAGTGTGTTCTGGCGGGGTAGTTATCAAAATATTACTGCCCTAACATATACGAAACGTCAACGCCTGAGAATTACAACATAAAAGAAAATGTCAACACGTCGATTATCTGCATATCCGCCGTTACAGATTTCTTTGGACGAAGATGGCAAAATAACGGTGAACACTATAGGTACGGGCCACGGGAAGATAGCAGGTGTTCGCGAAAAGGGTAAGCATGGTCTGCCCTACCAGTAGCACACGCCACTCACACAATTTGCAGAAAAACGTAAGTGATTGTTTGTTGGCTGACGCCGCACAGCAGTATTGCCATGAGGTGACGGCGTGGCAGTATACGGGACTTACAACACAAGAAATAGAAAATAAAAATAAATGCTAGATAAATTTTATATACAATACAAGACCTGTTCTTGGAGATTGTTAGGACAGTATTATGTTTACGTGACTGGAAATTATAGACCTGGGGGGGTTAAAGTGTCTCGAGCGGCGTCAAAATACCATTGCTCTGTATTTGCATTCTACTCAGGGGCTTGCAATAGACTCTCTTCAAACCAGCCACTTTATAGTCCAACACTCTCGCTTTACTAAACTAAGAGTGAGTGAGTGAGTGAGTCAGAGAGTATGGTTTTACGCCGCATTTAGCAATATTCCAGCAATATCACGGCGAATCAGTAATCGAATCCGGGTTTTCGGCGTGACGAGCGAACGCTTTAACCACTGGGCTACCCGACCGCCCCTACTAAACTAAGAAGCAAAGGAAAGTGTGTTTTTTTTATTGTTAAAGTTTTTAAAACAATTTAATCGTTAACGGACAGTAAATTGGTTGACTAGAATCAAATAAAAGACACATCCCGTACGGCACAGATGGGTGCTACGCAAGCCCAAATTCCCGAACGTTTGGATGTACCCCACTGACGGTAGCGACATTGACACAGGCAGACAGATGGGACCCAAGGCAGACCGCAAAGTGGTAGACCACGTGTCACAACAGTTCAGGAAGACCGCTATATTCGCACGATACATCCCCGGAACAGATTCGTGACGTCAACGTCAATGGCTGCAACGGCGTAAGGCGCACACTGTTGCGAAGACTACGATCTGCATGAATCCGAGCATATCGTCCCTTCCGAGACATGGCTTGGACTCAGTAGCAACGAAGAGTTAACTTCAACAACGAAAGTGGGTTTATTTCGTAATGACGGTAGACAGAGAGTTTACAGACGTCGGAGAGAATCTTTGATACCAGCATGCGTTCGAGAAGTGCATCCATACGGCGGCGGGAGCGTCATGGTATGGAGCGGCATTTGTGGCATTATTGTGGCAAGGATAGCGCTCAGTGATAATGCAGGGCAATATGAATACCAACGAGTACAGGCATCAAGTTTCGCAACCAGTCGTACTCCCTTTCTTATAATTCTTCAGCTAGATATGAATCCGATAGAACAGCTTTGAGGTCAACCTGGAAAAGGCACCGAGAGAAGAATGGCAGTGAATACCAAATCACGTCATCCGACGTTTGACGTCAGCCGTGAGGAGACGTGCATTAATGCAGCGGGAACCCACACACGTTATTAGTGCTAAGACTGATTCATATAATAAAGATTGAATGCTTCATGGCAATAATTTCCAGTTCACATATTCGTGAAAAGTCAATGTTCTTACCCCACGTGTTTTAAGTTCTGATTTTTTCTGGAATTTTTAGAATACTAAAATGTTTGTCCAAACGACAAACATCAAGTGATTACTTTTTATCATCCAAAACTGGCTCCCACAGGAGATATCGCTTGGATGAGATCTACACTGTAGATATCGCTCCAATGAAATTACATCACAATGCTTTGCAGACCATTGTGACGTCATTGGTTACCATGACGTCACAATCAAATGACATCACTAATTGCTCTGCTACTGAAGCTGTTTGCAGTACTTTTTACACTGAAGACACTGCTAATTACTGTCTACAAATTGAAAAAGTTAAAAGAATGATGTTGGATGATAAATAAAATCTCACCCTCGTGTCTTTTGATATCAAATATATCAACACTCGTTGATAAAAGTGGCAAAAATCCTCGGCAAGCCTCGGAATTTTTCCACTTTTATCAACTCGTGTTGATATATTTGATATCAAAAGACACTTGGGTGAGATTCTCTATATAACATCAAATTACTTTGAAACAAAACCATTTTTAATTTCTATGTGATATCGTTATTTAAAACTCGACCTATATTTTCTTTTGGCTCTGAGTATGTTTAACACTGATGAACCCAAATCTTCTTACTGTTTCAGACCCTGGCGGGAGTTTGCGCGACTCATATGTGTCAGCGTGACGAACAATGTAGGCCACTAGGTGGCGTAGCTACATGCATCAAAGGTAATTATATTATTTAAACTAAGAGTGAACAATTTTTCAAGTGATCACTTTGCGAGTAACAACCAATAAAGAACCAATTGCAAAAAGTATTATTATTACAAGATTTGGAATTGAATTCGTCAAGGGAAAGCGTAAGTAATCAACAATATATGTTTCAAATAAACTTAAAGGCCCTCCCTGACAATAAATAGCCCGCAAGGTGGCGGTGTTTCAGTTTCGAACAGTGATTGACCCAACCGAGTGCCTGGAGAAGCTTTTTGAAAACCGTAAACCGCAAACAAGATCACCACCAACCGTCAAACTTCGAATCAACTTGAATGACAAACCCTGGATACCACAAATGTCCCCACATCTATATATAAGTCAATATATTTTCTGTAGTTTTGTCATAAAAAAATCCAATCGATCGTGTTTAGCGTCTGCATCAATCACAGTGGGCGGAGCTTATTTACGGCTGCGCTATAAATATATAGCAAAGCACATTATCATGTGTACATGTGACACATCCAATGCATTTGTGGTCATCCGCTGCAACGTTTAATATCCGTTTCTTCAAGTCCGAGTATCTCTCCAAACACCTCGTTTATTTAGCTCAGTCCAGAAGTTTTGGCAACACTGTTTCTGCAACATGGTGGCCCAGTCGTCTAAGGCGCCGCGATTCGCTGTGCAGAGTTGCGTCCCTTAGCACGCCAGAAACCTATGATTGTTGGTTCGAATCCCGGTTCGCCCCGATTATGTTTCTACATCAAACGATTCCAAGACTTTTCAACAAACGCGTACGTCTTGGGTTTCAAAACCTTACTGTCATGTCGTCTTCACATCTTCCTAAAATGATACTGTGGAATGTCCACGATTTATCCAACACACTTCCTTTGTCAACCATGCGTGACACAGCGCAGTCAATCGCAGTTAGGGAATGCTGCGGCCACCATGTTGCAGAGTGAGTGAGTTGGGTTTAACGCCGTTTTTAACACTCAGTATTCCAGATATATCACGGCGTGTCAGCTTAATGTGTGAGGAAAGCCCGTAATGATGCATGTCTCAGACGTTTACCACTTCGGTGAAACCCACGAGCACGGGTATGGTGCTGACAAACCTAGAAACATAATCGGGGCGGACCGGGATTCAAACCAACAATCATAGGATCAAGGGACGCAACTCTGCACAGCTCTTGGACGACTGGGCCGTCCGTGTCCCTCCTCACAAAGAAAATTAGCTGATATCCTTTCAAGATCCTTTGAAGATCCATTGACGTTATGAAGCTTAGATATAGCTGGCTATATTAGCATAGCCATGAAACTGTTAGGCATGATTTCTTACGGTCTCATGGATGAGAAGGGTGTAGACAGAGAACATGGCAGGGCCGGGAACAGAACCTTGCGGAACAGTGTCGTAAGTTACATAGTCTGGAAGGAGCACATTCTTTGAAATTTTAAAACATTTTAAATCACAACTCATAACACATCTTTTCCTTGAAGCATATGACCTGTATGAGATGAGTACGTAGTTCGAGAAACTGTGTACCATGTTTCTAGATACATTTATTGTTATTGCTCAAATGTAGCGCTTTGAGCATGCACCGAGTGTATAAAAGGCTAGCGCAATACAAGTACACATTATTAGTATAATCCCCCGCCACGAAGTGGGAGTGGGATATAGGAATGGGTGTTGTCCGTCAGTCCATCACCTTTCTGGGGCATAAACCTGAAACCGTTTAATATTTTAGTATACGATTTTGCACATTTATCAGTCACATGCTGAACTGATGGCTGATGGTTTGGTATTTCTAAGAAAATAGAAAAATGTGTTTCCTTGGCAACAAACTCGACGTATATTCAAATACGTGGATCATTCGTTTCCGGAGCTGGGAAACCGTTTAATCTTTTATACTGAAACTTTACATATGTGTCAAACAGCTGAACTGGTGCCCTTTAATGTTTTCTTATTTCTACAAAATATATTTCTTGTGCTTTCTTGGTTTTACTGATTGAAGGGCAACAAGTAGCCTGATTGATTGTAACGACGTGTCACTGCTACTTCTTGAAGGGCAACAAGTCGCCTGATTGCTTGTAACGACATGTCAGTTGTACGTCTTGAAGGACAACAAGTAGCCTTATTGCTGGTAACGACGTTTCAATGCTAGTTCTTGAAGGGCAACAAGTAGCCTGATTGTTGTAACGACGTTTCAGTGCTACGTCTTGAAGGACAACAAGTTGCCCGATTGATTGTAACGACATGTCAGTTGTACGTCTTGAAGGGCAACAAGTAGCCTGATTGATTGTAACGACGTTTCAGTGCTACGTCTTGAAGGGCAACAAGTTGCCCGATTGATTGTAACGACATGTCAGTTGTACGTCTTGAAGGGCTACAAGTAGCCTTATTGCTTGTAACGACGTTTCAATGCTACTTCTTGAAGGGCAACAAGTAGCCTGATTGATTGTAACGACGTTTCAGTGCTACGTCTTGAAGGGCAACAAGCAGCCTGATTGATTGTAACGACGTTTCAATGCTACTTCTTGAAGGGCAACAAGTAGCCTGATTGATTGTAACGACGTTTCAATGCTACTTCTTGAAGGGCAACAAGTAGCCTGATTGACTGTAACGACGTTTCAGTGCTACTTCTTGAAGGGCAACAAGTAACCTGATTGCTTGTAACGACGTTTCAGTGCTACTTCTTGAAGGACAACAAGTAGCCTGATTGACTGTAACGACGTGTCAGTGCTACTTCTTGAAGGTCAATAAGTAGCCCGATTGCTTGTAACGACGTGTCAGTGCTACTTCTTGAAGGTCAATAAGTAGCCCGATTGATTGTAACGACGTGTCAGTTGTACGTCTTGAAGGTCAACAAGTAGCCCGATTGCTTGTAACGACGTGTCAGTGCTACTTCTTGAAGGTCAATAAGTAGCCCGATTGATTGTAACGACGTGTCAGTTGTACGTCTTGAAGGGCAACAAGTAGCCCGATTGTTTGTAACGACGTGTCAGTGCTACGTCTTGAAGGGGCAACAAGTAGCCCGATTGATTGTAACGACGTTTCAATGCTACTTCTTGAAGGGCAACAAGTAACCCGATTGCTTGTAACGACGTTTCAATGCTTCTTCTTGAAGGACAACAAGTAGCCCGATTGATTGTAACGACGTTTCAATGCTACTTCTTGAAGGGCAACAAGTAGCCTGATTGATTGTAACGACGTTTCAGTGCTACGTCTTGAAGTGGCAACAAGCAGCCTGATTGCTTGTAACGACGTTTCAATGCTACTTCTTGAAGGGCAACAAGTAGCCCGATTGTTTGTAACGACGTGTCAGTGCTACGTCTTGAAGGGGCAACAAGTAGCCCGATTGATTGTAACGACGTTTCAGTGCTACTTCTTGAAGGGCAACAAATCGCCTGATTGCTTGTAACGACGTGTCAGTGCTACTTCTTGAAGGGCAACAAGTCGCCTGATTGCTTGTAACGTCGTTTCAGTGCTACTTCTTGAAGGTCAATAAGTAGCCCGATTGATTGTAACGACGTGTCAGTGCTACGTCTTGAAGGGCAACAAGTAGCCTGATTGCTTGTAACGACGTGTCAGTGCTACTTCTTGAAGGTCAATAAGTAGCCCGATTGCTTGTAACGACGTGTCAGTGCTACTTCTTGAAGGTCAATAAGTAGCCCGATTGATTGTAACGACGTGTCAGTTGTACGTCTTGAAGGTCAACAAGTAGCCCGATTGCTTGTAACGACGTGTCAGTGCTACTTCTTGAAGGGCAACAAGTAACCCGATTGCTTTATAACGACGTGTCAGTGCTACGTCTTGAAGGTCAATAAGTAGCCCGATTGATTGTAACGACGTGTCAGTGTTACGTCTTGAAGGGCAACAAGTCGCCTGATTGATTGTAACGACGTTTCAGTGCTACTTCTTGAAGGGCAACAAGTAGCCTGATTGATTGTAACGACGTGTCAGTGCTACGTCTTAAAGGTCAATATAAGTAGCCCGATTGATTGTAACGACGTGTCAGTTGTACGTCTTGAAGGGCTACAAGTAGCCTTATTGATTGTAACGACGTGTCAGTTGTACGTCTTGAAGCGCAACAAGTAACCTGATTGCTTGTAACGACGTTTCAATGCTACGTCTTGAAGGGCAACAAGTAGCCCGATTGCTTGTAACGACTTGGCAGTGCTACTTCTTGAAGGGCAACAAGTAGCCTGATTGCTTGTAACGACGTGTCAGTGCTACTTCTTGAATGGCAACAAGTAGCCTGATTGCTTGTTACGACGTTTCAATGCTACTTCTTGAAGGGCAACAAGTAGCCTGATTGATTGTAACGACGTTTCAGTGCTACGTCTTGAAGGGCAACAAGTAGCCCGATTGATTGTAACGACGTGTCAGTGCTACTTCTTGAACGGCAACAAGTCGCCTGATTGCTTGTAACGACGTTTCAGTGTTACGTCTTGAAGGTCAATAAGTAGCCCGATTGATTGTAACGACGTGTCAGTGCTACATCTTGAAGGTCAATATAAGTAGCCCGATTGATTGTAACGACGTGTCAGTTGTACGTCTTGAAGGGCTACAAGTAGCCTTATTGATTGTAACGACGTGTCAGTTGTACGTCTTGAAGGTCAACAAGTAGCCCGATTGCTTGTAACGACGTGTCAGTGCTACTTCTTGAAGGTCAATAAGTAGCCCGATTGATTGTAACGACGTGTCAGTTGTACGTCTTGAAGGGCAACAAGTAGCCCGATTGTTTGTAACGACGTGTCAGTGCTACGTCTTGAAGGGGCAACAAGTAGCCCGATTGATTGTAACGACGTTTCAATGCTACTTCTTGAAGGGCAACAAGTAACCCGATTGCTTGTAACGACGTTTCAATGCTTCTTCTTGAAGGACAACAAGTAGCCCGATTGATTGTAACGACTTGTCAGTGCTACTTCTTGAAGGGCAACAAGTCGCCTGATTGCTTGTAACGACGTTTCAATGCTACTTCTTGGAGGTCAATAAGTAGCCCGATTGATTGTAACGAC